ATCTTCCCTCTGCCCTCATTTTGCTTTCCATAGTAGTATATATGAGTTTATATATTTAGTGTTTCATAAAGTGACTTGTGCTTCGGTGAGCTTTTGTTAAGGATGAGAGGGAAATGTGGACAGTGGTGATGATGACTGCACAAGATGATGAACATATTGTCGTTGAATTGTACATGTAAAAAGTGTGTTAAAATGACAAATATATTTGTTGATTATGCTTACCAGAATTTTTAAAAGGACATTTTAGAGGGAAAAAATGCTTTGTGCTTCTTCTCCTTTAGAATGATCACCGATCTGGGCCCCAAGCACAAGGTGCACTAGCCGGCAGATTGCTGACCAGGGGCTGAGACCCGCGTTCTTTCCTCCTCAGTCTGACTGCAGCCACGGAAGGTAACTGCTAGTTCCATTTCTGTGTCTTCAAAATGGAAGCATCCTCCTTTGATGCGGCTGGAGGACTTGCTGGATGATTCTTGGGTATAAGAGATAGGGGGTGACAGATGGCTGAGAGCTTTAGCCAGAATCCTTGATTCAAAACTCAGCACTGTTGTCAGTCAGTACGGGGTGACTTTGGGCAAGTTACTTACCTCTCAAAGCCCAGCATGCCTCATTGTAAAAATAATTTCCAGTCTCTGAAGCTGTTCTGCGGGTTGCTGGGAAAGGTAAAGTTATGTGTTGACTTTCAGAGCACATGCCCCGAAGACCTTGGGAAGCCCTGGCTCCTCTTTTGGGCAAACTGTTGGAATTGTGCCTTTTGACTATTGGCAGATGACCTCAGAAGTCCCTGGCAATTATAATTTTGACGAGGGACAGGTAGAATCTTGTTCTGGTTGTGGTAAAAGTAATGGTGTTGGTGGCTGGGTATCCTTGATAAAAAATTGCCTTCATTTGAACCTAGGCGATGGCCCAGGTTTGCATCAGGATGATGGTAGTCATTTGTGGAATTTTTAAGCATTGAAAGTCGTTATAATCTTCGGGTTTGGAGGTGTCTCATAAACAGTAAGATCGATTTTGGCATATAAAAATAATTCTCTCTGCCTGGGTACCAGAAGGCACAACCTTTTATTCTCTAGAAAATGTGCAAATTGTTGAATTTGATGCTTGTGTAATGGCCAAAAGGGTTGTAGAGGTGGGGATGCTGAATGCGGGGCGAGATAAGCTTCCAGGAATGAGTCATCTTGGTGACTACTAAGATTTTCCCTTACAAGCTGTGCCTGGAGCAAATTGAGAGGAAGGAGGAAATGGAGTGAGGAGTATACTCATGGCCAAACCTCCATTTTCTAAATCTGCAGCTTGGTGCCTCTCCATGTGTGTTACTGTTCTGACAATACACTGCTGGAAAGAGAAACTTCTTTGAAAAGCTGTTGAGGAAAATTGCCGTACACATTTAGGGGATGGGGTTATAGGAACATGCTGGTCACTTTCAAGCGTTAGAACTAGTGTAATTGTTTCCATCCCTGGTTCTGAAACCGGGTACAAGGTAGCTTAATTCTGGGGTGCTTGACGCCACAAGATAAATAGCAGACATCTTCTTGGAGCCTTAGTTATGCTCATTGAGGGGTCTAAGTAATTTAACCAGTAAATAACTTTAAGTATTTTTATGTTAAAAAATATTTTAAAACAGAATGCAAACTTGTGATTAATACTCATCCTCAGCAAAATGAGGCATGAGTGCTGGGGGGTGGTGGCAGGGCTCTTTACATGGATAAACACGTGAGAGATGACAGTTGTGAGTTGTGGGACCGTTCTGCTGCCAGCCCTTTACTTGGTCTTGTGGAGTGCTCTCGTGTGGAATGTGGAAATTAAATGCTTGCTTGCATACGTGCTCCTCGGTAGGTGGGCAGTTTTAGATTACTGGACCAAGTCCTCCAAATACTGCCATCAAGCCCTTTCTGGTGAATTATAATGGACAAAGAAAAGGGGGAGCAATGAGCAGAATTGCACTTCTAAAATTGTAAAGTAAATTCATTGCAACACAATTTTAGGATCATCTCAACCTGAGTAGAGTTACAAATTTATACAGTGAGTTCCCACAACACTCTCATTTCTGACCTGCTGGATACAAATTTGGGGTTTTCTCACTACCCATCCATGATTCCAGGCATTTGGGAATGTCCCAATAACTCAGAGGCAGAATTGAAATTTTTATTGATTTTGCTCATTGCCCTCTAAGTCAGACTTGTCTTCTAATGGCTCTTAGATACTTTTTCAAAGGCAACTATTTTGTGTGTTTTACAACTAATAAGTAATGTTACTAATGTAGCACTTAAGAATTGTTTTTATATTAATAATGCCTGAATTTTTCATGCAATGGTCTTTTTCTGCAATAAGGTGAGTTGGATCAACCCAGATGTGTCTGTGCTGTATTTGTAATATTTGTTAACACTTGTAAAGTGCTCATTCCATATGTGAGCACTTGCCTTCCTATTTTGTGCTTGGTGCTGCATTGAATGTTGGGGATTAAAAATTAAATGACAAAAGGACCTCCTTCTGAGAGTTTTGAGTGTGGGCAAGAGGTTTATAGGTTCCTGTTGCTGCTGCTCTGATAGAAGTGTTTAGTCGAAGGGGGTGGGGACGGTCAGTTACAAGAGTTGAGATGTTGGAAAGGTTTTCTGGGAGAGGCATTGGTCTGGATTTAAACAGGAAACAAAGGAAGCACAGAACCTAATTTGATTTTAATCCTATAAGGGAGTGCAGTGAGAGCAGGGTAAACCGGGTTCTCTGCTGCTTCTGTTCCAATACCAGCTGACCTTAATTACCTGGAACTAGGCCAGACCTGACACACAGAGGGGCGGGCACCCTCCTCCAGACTGCCAAGTCAGCGGGAGACTTCAGATGCCAGCCACAAGCTTGGGGTTCCCACAAGACCCCCACTTATGACTGACTGCAGTAAATTGGGATTTTTCCCACTACCCCTTTAGGATGCTAGCCATGAGCTAGCCAGCCCCCTCACTTCCAACCTGTTGGCCACAGCTGTTCTACCCCTTCAGGATACCAGCTGTAAGTAAGCTCAGAAGTCCCTGGCTCCTTCAATTCGGCCCTGCTAGCTCTCGCTGCACCCATGGGTTTGATGATGGGTAGAATGACTCCTAGAACTCAGGACAGCACTTATGTACAATTATTAATACAGTAAAAAGGATACAACTCAGGACCTGGGTTCCCACTGTGGAGCTTTCATGCCCCCTCAAAAAGGTTGTGTTTCTCTTCCACGTGCATAGTTGTCTATCCCCACCAGGAAGCCCAAGAGTTTCCACATCCACAGCCTTATTGAGACCTCCCTCACATAGGCCTGACTGGTTGAACCATGCCCATCCACCCCTGCTGCCGCCTCGTTGAGGTTGGATAATATTGTGAGGTGGTCTTTCCGACCTGGCCAACCCCCACCTTAGTCACCTCACAGCATTAAAGCTAACCCCATAGGGAGCAAGGTCTAGCTGTGCAGCTGACTACGCCACGACTCTGACTGGGATGTTCTCCCTTTTCTCATTTGTAAGATGACGCCTATACCTTGTTGACCGCACCGCTCGTTTTTATTGCCACTCTAATAAACATTTCAAATGGGCAGGTCGAGTGGCTAGGAAAGTCTTTCTCGTGATTGAGGGGCCTGAAGTACAAATCCAAGTTCAGCGCTGGGAAGACTTGCTCTATTGACTTCTCCGCCCCTGCCACTCTTGGATCCCATGGCAGTCTCCACATGACATCTGCTTTCCTCCATTTGTGCTGTGCTCACCCTGGCTGTCTAAACTGCACTTCTTATATCTCAGAAGACAATCTCCCCTTATTAAAATAGCAAAACCCTGTTCCCAAGTGGTATTCCATCTACCAGTACAGGGGTTTAGGATCCAGTGGTGGGGTGGGGGGAACACAATTCAATTCATATTATAGACTGTGACAGGTATTGTTGCCATGAAGTATTGTTGGGGATAGATGTACACTCCATTCTCTGTTCCATTTTCCATGAACTGTATGAAGCCCACTCATAAATTGCATGTGCTGTACAGCAGTAAAGTGATGGCTTTTACACTTTGAGCTACGTGAACACAGATCTTTGGTGCATGTACTGTTGTATCTGTGGGATAAATTTGTAGAAATGGAATTGCTGGTCTGTTCCTAGAATAGGAAATGGCACATTCAAAGGTCCAGAGACAGAAGAGAAGCTAGAATGTCCTGGGTATTGAGAGAAATTGAGTAGGGTTAGATTAGACTGTATGAAGCTGGCCCCGGATCTGCTCCCACAGCCAGCAGGACCTGTAGGCCATATGAAAGGGTTTGGGCTTTGGGGCCCAAAAGCCTAAGACTTTTCAGCATGGGCAGCTTCAGGAGAGACATCTCTTGCTGGCAATTGATTTATCTATTTTAGAAACCTATGGTCACTGTTGGGGAAAAAAACGAGGGGATGATGAACCAGGGAAACCAGACCATTGCCTTGGCTCTGGCATGCTGTAATAGTGGCCTAAATTACTGAGGAAATCAGCAGAATTGCTCTTTCAGCCCAGCTTTTTTATAACCTTTTTTCATGTTCTAGAACCTGATGGCACAGTGGTTAAGTGCTTGACTAACTGTGAAGCCAGCAGCTTGTACTCCCAGCAGCCACTCCCAAGAGAAAGATGCGGCAGCCTTGGAAATGCTGTGGGGTGGGGGTGGGGGCAGGTCTACTCTGCCCTGCCAGGTCTCTGTGAGTCCGAGTTGGCTCCACAGCTATAATGGTAGGCTTCATGTTATGTGTTATGAATATTTCTCTAACTGATAAACTACCTAGTTTCTCGTGTGTGTGTGTGTGTGTGTGTGTGTGTGTGTGTGTGTGTGTGTTTCCTAATGTGCTCCTTTAGGGACAGTAGTCCCTTATTTTGGCAGCCCTGGCTGGCTGTTAAGAGGGCACCTAAAGAAGTTAGTGGAGAATGTAATTTTTGAATCCGCAATCTCCTTTCCTTCCTTCTTCCCCTGTTCTTGACTTTGCATCAGAGTCCTGTTAATTAAAATGTGAACTCATGAGTTTTAAGAAATGCGTTTTAGCTGCTCAGTACTTGAATGTGTTCCCAATACTTATGTAGTGAGATAGCTAATGACTAAGTAGATTATCCTACTAAAGAAAGAAATGTAAATGCTTTCAGCATTTTCCCCATTAAAATTAAATCCTCTATTTCTTGCTTTCAAAGAGGTAGATGATAAACTAATTTCCCCCAAAAATTCACTGCCATCGAGTGGGTTCTGACTCAACAGCAGCTCTGTAGGACAGAGTAGAGATGCCCCTTGTGGGTTAACTCTTTATAGGAGTAGAAAGCCTCATCTTCTGAGGAGTGGCTGGTGATTTTGAATTGCTGACCTTGCAGTTAGCAAGGAAGGAGGTAATAGTCCTAATATGTCCTAGATTGGCAAGGACTTCGGAATGAAAT